GGCTCTGGCGGCGGCGGGGCGCCTCCGTAAGCTGAACGCCCTCCTTTCTTGCAGGCTGGCACCAAGCAGTGCCCTGTCTTGGTGCCATCAGCTGCTGAAGAGGGGCTTTACCACTTACCTGGTGAGCTGCAAAGGGAAGCTGAGAAGCTGCCTTCTCCCAGAGCACTTCACAGCAGCTGAAAAGCCAGAGCCCCTACAGCCCCTCTGCAGTTTTGCTTTCCTCTTGCTTGCAGCCAACGGGACTAAGAAAAGGAAGAGGTTCGTCCCATGGCCATTTGCTCGGAGATGAGCCTCAGCCGAGGGGGACTGCCCAGCGCAGCCGCACTCTGGCCTCGAGACACCTCTCTTTGGCCAGCCTCTGACTACTCTTTGTGGAGAAGAGGGCACCCTGCCCCAGCCAGGCCAGGTAAGGCAGCCTGGCCATGCAGCTTGCAGCTATGCTGCTGCTGGCTCGTCTTGCGAGGCAGCATCCCCAGCCCTTGGGCTGTGGCTCTCCGCACACAGGGCATTTGGGGCTTTGCCCTCCACACACACTTCAAGCGGCAAGGCCTCAACTTCAGGTCCCACCAGGCACGTCAAAAGGGTCATGACTGCAGGCCTGTGCAACCCTGGGAGCAGGCAGAGGAGAAGCAGATCTGCTCTCAAGGGTACATTCTGATGGCCTTGCAGAAGTCATTGAAAGGAAGCTCTCAGGAGCAAAAAGAGCCAGCAATTTCTGCATTTCCCTGGAAAAAGGGCTTGAGCGGGTGGCTTGGGGGACAGTCTGGGTATTCCCAGGGTAATCTATGGGGACCAAGAATGAGAACTGAATGCAAGCAAAACAAAGTGCACCTCCCAAGCAAAAGCTTGTTTCCATCTCCAAACAAAGGCTCCCCTAAGGCTAACTGGCCTTTCTGCACCCACATGACTCTTCTCCCACACCTGTCTGCTTTCTCCTGCAGGATCTCCTGGCCATATTATACAGGGAAGGACCGGCCACAGAGGGCATATTCCGCAAAGCTGCCAGTGAGAAGGCCCGCAGGGAGCTGAGGGAGGAGCTCAACAAAGGAGGGGCCGTTGACTTGCAAAGCCAACCCGTGCACCTCTTGGCCGTCATCTTCAAGGTGGATTTCTTCTCGCTTCCGTGCAGCGCAGAGAGCACCCTGCCCACCTGCAGGCGGGCGCCACGCGAGTGCCTAGCTGGGCCCAGGGGGCACTCCAAGCTGAATCCATAGGGAAGCCAAACGACAGCTTTTCAGGGGGAGGAAAGTTTGGCCTTTGGGTTTATCATCTGATTTTCCGTTCCCCTGCTTCTGCCCCTGATTTCCTGCCTGCCCAGGGGAAAGTCACCTCCGCCTCCTCCGCCTCCTCTTCCGCCTCCTCTTCCGCCTCCTCCTGCTCATCCTCTTTCGCCCCAGCCCCCTCCTCAGGGAGGAAGGCTGAGGTTTCTGGGTGGACTCGAGGCTGATAGGCCCTAGGGCCTCTTCGTGCACTCCCACAAGTGTGCCCAAGCGGGGCAGTACTCGCGCAGCCCACTGCTCGCTCTGTCAGCAGCCAGGAGCTCCTTTGAGAGCGGGGAGCTCCAAGCAATCTGCCTCCTGGGGAGCCCAAGGGCCGCTGGATGCACCCTCTGGCCTCAGGGCTCGTGTCCAAAGCCTCATCTCTGGATCTCGGCCTTGCAGGACTTCCTGCGAAATATCCCCTCCAGGCTCCTCTCGGCAGCCCTGTTCGAGAGCTGGATGCTGGCTCTGGAGAAGCCAAGCAGGCAGGAGAAGATCGAAGATCGGAAAGAGGGAGGGTTGGGGCCAGTCCCCCCATCAC